TAAAATATTTAAAAATTATCAATAAAAAAAATTTAGGGCCATTAAGGCTTTATAATGGTAAAAAATATTAAAATCGATTTAGCAGTTCTAAATATCAACCGGAACGAATAAACAATTTGTCTTTTTTATATATTAGGTATAGATATAGTGTTAAAATATTGAATATACAAAATAGGTTAATAGAAAGCATAAACAATATTTTTATTCATTTTTATTCTAAGTGCATAAACTAAAATTATTTAATGAAATTTTATTTATTATTTTATTCCACCTGCAGCTGTGGTAAATTGTTACATTTTTAAATTATTATATAATCATAATTACTTACTGTTGTTAAATATTATTTTGATTTGTTTTGTAGAGGTGCCTATTACAATACCTGGTGCAAGTTGCTACTTTACAAAAAAATACTTTGTAATCTTAATTAAATTTTAAAACACTAAATTTAATTGATTAATATTGATTTAAGTTTCAAAATTAAACAACTTCTATAAAAGCTGCATAGTTTTATAAAATGTATAAGTAAATAGATTAATGTAGGTACTATTAATGTAATATTCCTTATATACTATGTATAATTGCTTATTTTTATTAAGTTAAGGAATATAATACATAATTATTATCATTTATCACATATTCTTATAATTCTTAAAGGAAAATTTTTTATATATATTATATAAACAATAAAAAAAAGTTAAGAAATGTACCCAACAACATGACACAGTACGCAAATATTGAAATATAATGCCAAATGTTTTTAATATTGGACCTAATTGGATTATAGTGTTAATATTCATCACGTGTGACGTATCTTGTGAAAAATATTAGCATTTGTTGATCGTTTTCAGTTAACTGTTTTTAAAAAGTTTATTTTAGATTCTGAGTGGAAAAATGAATGTATTGATTTAACAATAATGTGTGTTTTTATATTTATTTATTTATATTTATTTGTGTCTGTGTACACGATAAGTAGTTGAAATAATGCAATTTTCAATTTTAGTATTTTTTCGGTGGGAAAATAATTCTAGTTGGTACATTAGGGAGGTTAAAATTTAAAATTCTCAGTAGTCTTCAAAAGAACAGAGAATAACAAAAATTGATTTTTGAGATAATCAATTTTGGTTTTAGATGTAACTCGAAAACAATTCACTGTAGATACACGAMCTGTTGATATACATATGCAAGTTTTGATTATTATTAGTTTTTTTTTAATATTAATGTCGATAAAAAATTTTTCGCTCTGTCAAAAAGCTTGAAAATGTAATACAAGGTTCCTCGTAAGTTTTTATTAGTGAAAATRAAAAAATAAAGTTAGCATAAATTCCACAATACATTTTTAAGAATATCTTAATTTCGAATTTTTTCAATTTTCAATTTTGATGTAATTTGATTATTYCTGTATTTTCACAAATAGTTTTAATTAAAACAAAATATATAGGAGGGTGGGGGTCTAAATTTGGTAAAAAGTTTGAGGAGGGATAGCTAAGACTCGATACACAACATTTTTTTCCTTAGAAGAGTAGATTCATAGTGAAAAGTATAGGAATGGTTAAACAGAAGAATATGGGATTAATACATTCTTAATCATTTTTTTAAATGTCATGGATTTTTATTTAAAAAACTTAGTGATTTCAATTTCAAAAACTTGGTTAAAATTAAAATCATTCATTTATTGATAAGATTTTATTTTTAGA